GGGCAAGTGTTACACGGTACCCAGTCAAGAGTGCTAACTCGGCTCTGTCACTGAGGGAGTTGTTAACGCCAGCTTGCTTAGATGCGGCAGTATCGATGTCACTAGGAGCAAGATGTAAAAGAATAGGTGGTTGGAATGGTGATGATGGCTAGTCGACTGTGTTGAAATCCGGACGTCATGATTCACTCAGGCAGCAGACATCGATAGCAAGGCTCTCCAGCATGCGTGCAACTCCAGCTTGCTGCCCGATCTGCAACGATGTACACACGTTAAATGTTGCAAGTTCAAACTGAATTCCATTTGGCAGTTGCGAAAATGGTACATTTCGGTGCTAGCAGCTCCTCGTCATGAACTGCTTACTTGAGGGCACCTAAGGTGTGAGAAAACTTTCATGGGCGGAAATTGGGATTTCCATCGCTAAAGAATCAATTAACAATGGGGATGAATGACTCAAAGGAAGGGTAGGTAAATTGGATGTGGGTGTATATAAATTTGGCTTAGTAGCATAGCAGTGGTACATCATGATGCCAGAAAAGTGAACGTAATTGTGGCGTTTAATAGTTCGTTAGTAAGCGAGTTGCAACCCAGTTGCCTAGGCCGAAATGGGTATTTTGTCTTAAGAGATAACGGTCCCGACCACTTTGCCAAATGGCCTAACCTATATAACACTAATGCGAAATAAGTAGTTCGCGCCCTTTGGTAGCCAGTGAACAAAAATTTGGTTCATATTCAATACTGTTAACAAAAGACAAAGCAGTGGCCCAATATTCACAAAGTCAAAGACAATCTGTTGCCCGAACTCCCTGGTTGCACACAGTGTAGCCGAAGAAGAGTAGGGAGAGTGACACTATTTAAAGGCGTCACAACCACCACGTCGCAGTGTTGTTAAACAGATCATTGCGGCTTTTTATAGGAAGACCGCTTGCAAAGCGTAAACACATCACTTATTGGAACCCTGGCCGAATTATTCGCCGAAAACAGAAAGACTGAAAACACGCAGTTGGCAACACGAGGTTGTTCGGCAAGCCAGCCATTTTACAGAATTATTAGATAACATTTGTTTTTATAGCTGTATTGTAGATTTTTCAGCTTTCGTGCTTCACGCGACAGTGTCGTGTACATGTGGAAATGCCAACGCTGTTCAAATGAGTTGTGAACTGGAGAACGAACGGAAACAAAGTAAATTATTACCAAAATATTACAGTCGGACTCATTTGCGTATATCATTCATGGTGCCATTTGATTCCACGCTGTGCCATGTGCTATCGACTCACCCAGCCTTTACGGTATGCTATAGCTTCGACGCTAACGCGCTGCCCATTTTCAAGGCTATCTGAATTATGCGCTACGCGTCCGTCGTCCGCCGTGATCCATAATTCACTGAGCTTATCGTGCCTGCTAATTTAACCACATTACTCATTAGTAGTGTATCACAACCACCCTCTAAAGTCGCCGACACTGTCAACCTCGCACGCAGTCTTCCCGACCTTCGGGGCCGCCCCATGTATGTCATGGTTTCCTCTCCTCGCTTGTATTATTTCCTCAATTTGCTAGCATGCTTTCGCCGCCTATGGCTCTGTAGAGCTAGTGTATGTACTGGGTCTCGTCGATTGTTTACGTCAGATGGTCCTCTTCACTTCATGAATAGTTTAATCTCGTCCGGATCACATGCATTCGCGCGTTGGTGATCTCTGTGCTTTACCATCGAACCGAGTGGAATGTCTCCTGAAGGTTTTTTCCTTGCTGACTGGGATTTCTCCAAAATCCGCTCCTTCGCTGCATTCAGATTTCGATTAACTACCTACCTGTTGTTCATTGTTTCCCTCGGCGGTAACTGTCAGTTCGAACACATCCCCACCAGTAAATCCACAGGGAAGCAGAGCACGCGGCCGTGCATTAACTGAAATGGGGATTGAATCTTGCTTACTTGCTTGGATGCCAGGTGAGCAAGTAGGAGTAGTGGGACAGCTTCCTCATTATGTCCCCGTTCGCCGCCAACCATTCCTTAATTGTCCTGTACTTCCTCGCGGTCAGTCCAGTTGTCTGAAGATGGTATGGAGTGGTTCCTATCTTCTTAATACCCAGTTTCTCCAGACATGTCCGGAACTGGTCAATTTCAAAGCATGGACCCTAGTCCATCAGTATGGCCTTGGGAATTCCGTGGCCCGCTATCACGTGCCTCATCACTGTATGTGTTGTCTTGCTAGCCCGTTGATCGGGAATTGCCACGGCTTCCTTCCAGTGGGTTAAGTGCTTGGATATTACGAATATATGTTCATTGCCCAGTCTCCTAATGGCGAACGGCTCCATTTCATTGATTTACCATAACTCACCAATCTCGGGTACGGGAATCGGGAGCATAATTTGGGGTGTTCCTCGATTTACACGATAGCACGTATATATCGACGCCACTTTTTATAACCGGTCATTAAGCTCGATGTCTAAGTATATCTTTTGTTCTGGGGCATCCGGTATGGGCCACGTCGTGACGAAAGGCCACTAACGTCTTCCCCAACTTCGGTGGGATCACCGGCACCGGGGTATCTCCTCGCCCTTCGATCCACATCAGAATTCCAGCATTGTTGACTTGCAGGTTCTCCAGGTTCAATTCAAATGGCCCGAATTTTTCGCCATGGCTTTTGTGTGTCAGTTCCATCCATTAATCGTTCTGTTATCAGCCTGTTAAGGAGCTTATCCTTCCGTTGCTCAGCTGCCAAACTCCCCAGATCCTGCTCCAGCACCAAACCACTGGCATCAAAAGCAACGTTTGGCAAATCGTCGTCATTCCTCAGGTGTGATAAAAATCTGCATTTCCGCTCTTTCTGCCTAATATGTAACTTATCGTGAAGTCGTATTCTTGTAAGCGCAACTCCCACATAATCAACTTGCCTCTGGGAAATTTGGAGGAGCAACTCCATGTCAATGATTCGTGATCTGTTTCACGTGAAAGCGTTGACTTAGCAAGTACGATCGCCACTTGTCCAGCGCCCAAAGAATTGCCAGACACTCGTCTACACTTGAATACTTGCATTCTGATGGCGTTACAATGTTGCTAACCTATATAATGGTCCACTGTTTTTGGTTGAGTGCCGCACAGTTCCGACGTCAGTTGCATCTGTGGTAACCGTGAACGCTTTTCCGGCAATTGACAATTCCAAACTAAGATCCTACCGATGTATTTCATTCTGAGTGTCGTCAACAAATTTCGTTCCTTTTACTGACAGGTACTACAAATGTAACCCCAAACTGTTAAAATTCCTGACGTATTTGCTGTAGTTACCGGCGCGGCCCAGAAGTGCCCTAAGATGGAGATTCGATGTCGGAACTGGTGTCGCGAATTGCCAGGGATTTTTCCAGCGGCGACTTCAAATCACCCTGACCCACCGTGGGACCAAGCAGTGTCACGGATGTTTCTTCCACTTGGTGTTTAGTTCCATCTATACATATATAGTCCAGACTGTTGGATCCTTTGCAACATTGCTTCCAAATAACGGCAGGTTCTGCTACCGATATACTGTACATCACAACTTCGTCTCCATACACGGCCACATGCTCTAGCCCAAGTAACAGGTGGGGCATCAAACATCGGAAATTGAACGAAGTACCAGATAATCCAAACCGAATCCTTTCAAATTGGTACTGCTTCTCCTCAACTGTACACGTGACCTGCTTCCGGTCCTCGTGTCTGATTGCCAGCTACCAGTAGCCAGATCACAAATATATTAACGTGATTACCATTCAATTCTGCCATGTGTCGGACATACCTGTTACTAGTAGCACCGACAGAAAACAACTCAGTGTGACTTCATTCAGCCATCTGAATCCCAGGCAAAAGCGGTGTTTTCCACTGGCCTTCTTCACCAAAACGATTGAGGATTCATAGGGGCTTTGATCCTCCTGGATTACACCAGCATCCAACATTTCCTGAACCTGCCTTTTGACCTCGGCTTGCGGGTGGATTGATATTCTTCTGGGTCCATACCGATTATACGGCAGCCGCGAAAGCGTAATTGCTTGTTCGAGCCAATCGCAAAACGCCTAGGGGCCGTTATGATCAGTAAGGAAAGGATTGCGTTTGCTGACAAACGATTTCGAAGCCGGACAATTGTATAAATCACCACGACTGAGCACGCACATGTGGCTCCTTCTATACAAGCGAGGAGTATAGATCTGTACTTTGACATCAGCTTTCTTCTGTCAAGTTCGAAGATAGCCTCTTTTGCTTGGAGACCATGTCCGCCCAGAATTGCCTGTTCCGTTTCCGGCGATCCGACAATAAGATGTTTGAATTTATGGCTCCCCATGCTAACCAGAGGCTCTGTCGTTCCATTTATGCGTATACTTCAACTGTCAAGACCAGTGGTTAGCCGTAGTAAGTCGGCAGCAGAAGGAAAGCTTGCGCGAAGTGTAGTATTCCCAACAAATAACGCGAAGCGGGTTGCAGCATAAGAACCGCAGTTGATCGTCCACCCGCGCGCATGTAAAATCAAACCATTTCGGAAATCCGTGAGAATACTTGAAGCTCAAACTATTTTAAACCAGCGGCAGGCATTGATCAATACTCAACACGTGACAACCCCCATCGTCGTGGCTGAAATCACCTTCCTGTTTAGAAACGTTCTACCGGTTAGCGAATTGGGCTGGACCGCCGAAGTATGGTCGCACTAGTTTGTTTTCACGCCCTCCACTAATTGCTCTGCTAGAATGAGTCAGCTTCCGCTACGGTCAGAGTGTATGTGCCCACGGGGGCGTAGGTGGATCGAACGTCGGCGGACGATCCGGCAGTTCAGCAGTTGCAGATCGTCTTGGCTTTCTGCAGAACCGAGCACAGTTGCTGGTTGCCAGCATCGTTTATGCGGTAGCCTAGTGTATACCGGTTGATATTTTTGAATGTGCTTTCACCGTTTAGTTCCTCTGATGACACAAACTTTCTCTGTCGCTATTCTACTTCAATACAGGGTTCGGAAACAACAAATAAAGCCTCATCCTGAGATTTATGCGGAACATTAGTTCCGCCGAGGACTTACCCGTGGTTTCAGTGCATGTGAAACGGAAGGCAAAAAGGGAACGATCCAATTTCGTATTCGAAGTCCCTACTCGCTGCTTTGATAGGCCTTGTTTCACCGTATGTACAGCACTTTCTGCTAAGCCGTTCAATGCCGGAGGATACTAGGCCGTTTTGATATGTTGGGTTTATTGTTGGTAACAAGCTTAATAAATTCAGCGCTGGTATTTGGTAAAATTGCTTTTAGCAAAAGCAGCGACAGCGAGATAGCATTCCCAACAGCAAACAAAGTTCATCACTGTTCCTCGGCGCAGGACTTTCTATACTAGGCTTCACCCGGACCGGGACTCTCACATCTGACTTTTGCCTAGCGGTGGGCTTGATTCGGCAGCTATGCTAGGCCAACTGGAAGCGTAGCCGTTAGGGGAATGTTTGTATATATTTATTGAATGCACATGCAAATTCTGTGTAGTTTTTGTATGGAAGAAGATCAATGTGATTATGATAGTTAGTTGTTGTGCTAGACTACATGAGTATTGGAAATCCCTTGGCCCCACATTTCTAACTGTCATCATGGTGGATGATTCCGAGAGATTCTGTCTGTTGGTACGTACACATTATCGGAAATTTGAGAGGTTGAGTGTGATGTTAAGTAATTTCAATTTGCAACTGCCACAGCTTTTTACAAGCATACGGCGGTAATTCGGCAGCATTATGAACGGCAAACGGACACACAGCTCTCGACAAGCTTTGGGATTGGTCAGAATTGTGGCAACTGCCAGTCAATCTTGCAAAGTGTTTGGTCCTGCGCATAGGATCAAGCACTTCCACAACTCCTTAAGTACTTGACGGAAATGTAGTGCGTCAAGTGACTAAACAAACCGATTTTGGTTTCCCGCTATTTTCTGACTTCAAATCCAGCGAGAACTGGACAAATTCTACCCGCAAGGGTTTCCGAAGGCTGTGGATGATCCGCAGGTCGTTCGGCATTATAACAAATGCAGTGTTCGTTAAATTGTTCTAAGCCTTTGTCAGGCCGTACTTGGATTACTGCGTGCAGGCCTGTCCCCCATGCTTGGTACGCGACAATATGACACTTGAACGAGTTCTGAGGGTTGGTGCTAAAATGGTACAAGGGTTGAGGCATCTCTCGTATCCTGATAGGCTGCTCAGGTTGCAGATGTTTTTGCTGCACTATAGGCGCCTTTGGGGAGACCTGATTATTACGTACCGTATATTGACCAGCAAGATTGAGCCCGATTTAACTGGACTGTTCCATCCGGCTCAGATACCACCTCTTCGTGGTAACCCTCTGAGGCTGCATAAGCCCAGATCTGCTCACATTAGAGCTGACTTTCGTTTATCACGTAGGGTCATCGACTCATGGGACGCGCTACCCAGCGAAGTAGTATTAAAACCAACGGTGAAGCAGTTTGAACATCGACTCGACGCTCTTGGGTTACAGTTTCAGAACTTTCCGTTTGGTTCTTTCTTCTACATCCATTTCCTTAGCTTCTCACATCTAGTACTATTAGTGTCTTATCCACACATTATCTCCTGTACTACAATTACCATTATTTTGTTTTGTTGATTCCCTTCTCTTAACCTTTATTCTCTTCACGTAGCCGGTACAGCGGGGATCGCTAGTGCAGGCCGCATGGGCACTGATTGGTTGACCGTTATGTGATTCGTATGTATTTATATGGCTCTTCTCGGTTTCAAATCGCTCCCACGAACTCCATTCTAGTTCGACGACGCATTGAAGAAGGAACACACATGGAAATTTTCCTACCGCTCCCGTCCAAATTACAATGGAAATTGAAAGCAGTTGTCCGATGAGTATCCGTACAAGTACGTGCAGTATCGCTGGGTTTATGGTAAGCGCAGCAATGTGCGTGGGAAACGGTAAGTTGCTATTCTCACCGTATAATTAATGCTACGTAGTTACAGGATGCTATATTGCAAGGTGCATTTCTCTTTCAAGTTGAAGGACAAATTTTACGAGCGAGGGGAATCACTTTGTATCATTGTCATGCTTTCCATGTTGGCAAGCCATGGCTGTATCCCCAAAACAGGCGGTTGACCGAGGCGCAGGAGAAAGAGGTGTATTTCCTGATGTCCGTTTTCAAAAGTGGTAGGGAAATACCGAAGAACATATTGATGACACATGGGTGGACGTTGAACGCGGATGATCTGAATATGCTAAGAAGGCGACACAAGAAGCGGTAAACAGGGGAAGTGGGGGAGGTAACGGAATTGTTGGAGCGGCACGGCGCTTGACGTGTGGTGAAAGAGAGCAAGGTGGTGAGATTTTTATTCTTCGTGCCATCGGTTTTGGAGATTATTGCGGAACAATACTGAGAAGTAATATCGGCGGACGCAGCTCACAAAGTGAATTATGGGGGATATATTTTGTGGCACTCCATGCTGGTCGATATAACAGGTGCGGCGTATTCTTTTGTCTACGCGTTGCTGCCGAATGAGACCTACGCCAGCCACCGGCCAGCTGTGGAAGCGATGAAAGAGATGCTACCTTGCACGGAATCGGTATGTACTGTTGTAGTGCATAAATGCATGGCGCAGTTGCGGGAAATGAACTTGGCTTATTCTAACGCGTCCGCGGTTTATTGCCGTTTTCACGTGTTGAGGGATATGTCACGCCGGGTTAATCGTCTATCGGAAACGAGTTCAGCGGACAGAAGCTTACGGAGCAGTCCTCTCTACATACTTTGTTTACGGTGTTGATTGATCCTGTAAACACGTTGATTCAGGATAGGCTGCAATTTCTTGGGAGGCATAGCGCGTCCCCGTACATACCACCTCCAGAATTGTCCATAACGGCACCTCACTATTCCAACGTATGTGGAAGAAAGCGAGTGTCCCAGCTAATTGGAGTGAATCGATTATAGTGGCAATATACAAGTAGGGCAGTCGCACCGACTCTGAGAACCACCGGGGTGTTAGCCTAACACCAATTGTGACAAAATTACAGGCCTCGCTTACCGGCCGTCGCCTCACTGCGGAACGGCCCTCTCGCATTACGGAACAGCAGGTTGGCTTCCGGCCAGGACGTGGCTGTGAAGACCATTTATTCACTTTGCCGCACGTGCTAAAGCAGCGCCACGCATACCGCAGACCGACAATAGCTGTGTTCCTAGATTTCAAGAGTGCGTTCGATTCGGTCTTTCGATGCATTCTGTTCGTAATACTTGCGCGAAAAGGTTTTCTCGCGAAATATGTGAACATCCTTCGTGCGCTATACTCGAACACTACAGGCCGCGTCAGGGTCTACGGTGTCCTATCGGATAGCTTTCCGACCACAAGTAGCGTTCGTCAGAATTGTCCGATTTTCCCATTTTTGTTAAATTTATTCGTACATTCTATAATGGAGTGTTCCCTTGCGGAATCCCACGATGTAAGCGTTGATGTGCTGCCTGGTGACAGATTAGTTGATCTTCATTATGCAGGCGATATGGTCTTGCTTTTCGACGACTTTGCGATGGCACAATCAACCCTGAAAAGCCTGTATAGAGTGGGTCCCATTATTTGGTATGCCCTTCGCACCTTCAAAGTGCAAAGTGTTGCTGCAGGATCACCAGCCACTTGATGACCCCTTGACGCTTGCTAACGAAGAACCTGAGGTTGCTGACCCATTCACTTACGTTGGCGGCTGCATAAGCAATGAAGGACGCATTCATGAACCTGCGGCATCTTTGGCGACAGAAGGGAATTTCCCTCCGTATGATGGTTTGTATATACAAGGCTACAGTGACGGCCGTTCTGCTCCATGGTACTAAGACTTGGCCCCTTCGGTTCGAATAAGTGAGGCGCCTTCAAGTCTTTGAACATCTTTGTATGCGAAGCATTGCTGGTGTCGGATGGCAGCAGCGTGTCCGCAACGATGATGTGCGTAGGCGCGTGCTGGGTAGTGATAACCATGCTACCTCCCTAGAACAGCATATAGCACTGAATAAGTTGCGCTGGCTGGGGCACGTGCTACGTATCCCTGGTCACCGCTTACATAGAAGGGCTTTGTTCAGTCTAAGAGGTGCGCATGCAGCAGCCTTACCCGACGTTTGCAGTCGCACTAAAGCCTCCGATGTTCATTGGCAAGTGCATCAACTGTATATCCTCCGCTTTTATCCCAGGTAACACAACCGCCACGTCCTCCGCCATACTGCCATGTTGTGTAGCATCCTCTGCCGACATCGCCACCTGCCGTAACCAGCAGCAGCATGATCACACCTAAGTGTGCTTCTTCAAATTTGCTTATGCTTCCACAGAAATGGTCACTATGTC